ACTCATGCGGAAGTTTTAGCTTCTCAGTGCTGTGCTTTAACCCGCTGCGCCACCAGGGAGGGCCGAGTTCTGTTTATTAAGAACAAAAAGCAAGGGAACTCATTGCTGATTGCAACTGTCAGTGGGTTTTAGAAAGTCCAAGGTATCTAACTGGTCGAGATAGGATTTGATGAAAACAGCAAGGCTAACACCCTCCTTGCTTTTAGGGAGATCAAGATGTCTTTTGATGTGGTTTTTACAAAGATGGAGATCTAAGTTTCGTGTCTGGCTTTTAGGAGCAGAACTAAGATCCTAGCATAGTACCAGATAGATAAGGTGTGGGACGGGGTCGAAGGCTGCTTGATTACATAGGCAAGACAGGAAAGAATCTATCTCAAAGACACTCCAGGAAGTTTTCTGGAAAGCGCATTATAGTTCTCATAAAACATAAACTCAGATGCAGAAAGCCTGTTGACTCTAGTAACTGAGAGCAAAGGATGGTGATTTTAAAATAGAACTAATATATAGGTAACATTTAGATCTTGTCTTTAGGGCCCTTGCCATCTGGAAAAGATACGGCCGGCAAAGAGACAACAAAGCAAAATGCCCTTTCACAGCTTTAACTTGCCAGTGGTGAAGCTCCATTTTCCCCATCAATCATGTCCTCAGGCCGAGTGTGAACAGAGGGTTTGGGCAACACCACAAATAGTTTCTCGCATTTCTTCTAAGTTTCTCTTTCCATTCTAGATCCATCCTATATGAAGGGAGCAATTCTGTCTTCTTTGGACGTTTGTACCGTAGTGTTGAAACAACAGTTTGAAAGGGTCTGGAGATGAAGCATTACACAATGGTCAGGAATCTCAGGTCTGCCACACCCCCAGGGTCAGTCCTTCTCCAGATACTGCACATCAAGGACTCTGCAAGGAGTGGATTCGGCCCCCTGAAGAGCAGTACGTGCAAATTATTCACTTCTGTCTGCTCTGATTCTGCCCATCCTACCCACCTGCTCCCAACCCCAGTGCAAATGTCTTCATTGCTGTGGAATAGGAGAGTCCTTAAAGTAAGAAGTTGAGTCTGAAAAAACAGTGGCGTTGGCCTTAATTTTAGGAAAAGGTACTCCGAGAACATCTCTATTTTGCTACCCACAGCACTCAGCCTGCCTCTTGGTGTTGCTGGACGTCGTCTTCAGGACGAGTCGCAGCGACACCTCCCTGAGAGAACTTAAGTTGGTTTCCAAGGCCAGAAAGCCCCCCTGATTAATATTCTCCTACAAAGATGCTGTAATTTGCACCCTTACGCAATCTTCTAGGGAAATACAGCATCTTTTAATGTTTGAGTTGGCACAAGGAGAGCATTAACCCTTTACAACCCAGACATTCTGTTGCCCCAACTTTGACGCTGAACCAAGGAGAGGCCTTTAGTCAAGACCTTCCCCTGAGCCCCGCTCTAGCCCAGCTATGTCAGGTTTGCTGATGAAAGCAGAGCACTTGTCTGAGATTTTAGCTCTTTCTGTTCCTGCTCATGTCCATGGTGTGATGTTTTTGAAGTTATGTCCTTCTTTGATACCCTCAGATCAGGTCACCGGCTATGAGGGGTAGAGCTAGAACTAAGTGAAAGGTATAAAAGAACAATCTTAACATCATTATTCTGGTTTCCCACATTCTTTAATGACTCTTGAAAGTTCTCTCTGAATGGCAGGCTCGGTGTCCCCTTGACTGAGCGTCTTTATAAACACCAGACACTAGCTGGCATGGGCAGGACACTTGATTCTGCCCTGAATTGTGAAGAGAAAGGTTTGCCTCATATTGGACTCTCTTCCTATTTGAAAAATATATTCAATTATAAATGAAAAATCAGGGGTGAGTGGGTTGTGCTTTAAGTGTTCCGAGCATAGATGTCAGCTACCTTTTGCCTTCTGTGAAATTCTTCCTTAAGTGAATCAACGTGCAGAGTAACTCTCCATTACCTTGATCAGCATTTAATACCAACCTGACACTTAGAATTAAATTAGAGAAACAAAATTGGATACCTTGAGACTTGAGGGCTGATTATACTACTCGAGCTAAGAGAGGATTTAAACTCTTTCCTTATCCCATTTAAATCTAACTAGATAGAAACTCTCCATTACTGAGCGGCAGAGGTGTGTCTGTGGAGGGGAGGTTCCCTTGATGTTCTTCAACAAGGAAATCTAATCCTTTCTTCTGACACACATGGTTGCAATAGAAAGTGTTCCCCAACTGCCAGTCTGGTTTTAATCTGTTGTTTCAAGCAAGATGGGATTTGCAAGGAATTTTAAGGAAAGAGCAAAATTACCAGAACTTACTATAAAATAAAAGTGTTGATGAGAAATCAAATTTTAAACAAGTGTTCAAAATTGTAAGCACGAACATCTGTGGACATTAGGGACATGCTATAAGTATATGATTATAAAAGCTTTTAATCACGAGTATATCTAAAGTCTGCTTTCAATACAGCGATATCTCATTTTACTTAAGTTCTTCAGCTTACCAAATGACAGCAACAGTAAAATATTGCCCAGAATATAGCGGTGCTTCTTTTAAACAACACTGTTGGAGAATAAAATAGCCTATAAATGAACTCCCCATGTAACCAAACTAACCCTGCCTTATACAAACTTTTAAAATATTAACCATTTGCATAGAAGTATCTCAAAAATGTAAGATGCAATTTTCCTTAAAAAGACACAGTGAATGTTTCTTTTCCTGAAGATTCAGGCTACTAAAAATGCATATTAAAAGATGGTGACTATACTGCTTTTCTTAGAAGAGCAGAAAATGTGTGCCAAGGATAGCTTTTGGTGACTCTCCAATACCAGGAGATTTCAGAATGTTATTTGAAACATTACAAAAGCAGGCAGAACTAGCTTTTTTTTTTTTTTTAAGATTTATTTATTTATGCATACAGAACTGGGGTACAGGCCAGAGGGGCAGGGGCAGTGAGAGGATTCACCAGAGACACAGGGGGGAGCAGAACTGACAGATCGATGAAGTACACTGCTGAGGGGAGCAGTAGGGAAACAGGAGAGGTCTGCCGCGCCATGTGGTCACCTCCAGGGCCACAGCTCCCACCAGCACTGAAGTGGCTGCAGCTGGCTTTCAGTGCTGCACCCCAATCAGTGTACCAGCAGGGAGGGCCCAGAACTAATTTGGTTTTTTTTTTTTTATGAACTAGCTTGTTTTAAATAGGTGTAATGACTTTTCTGCTGTTCTCTCAAAATGGAATTTCGTTTCAAAAAGAGAAGCCTACTCTGTACAAGGTACAGACAAACAAAGAAGAAAACGCAGTCCTCACCCAAGGTGCAACCTTGCCAGGTGAGTGACTGCTTGTGGTAGGAAAGACAGTATCTGTCTTCTGAGTCTAAAAATAACTTACTTTTAAAAACAGATACAAAGCAAACACATTTCTATTCTGATAGATCTTTATGGGAACAGGTCGGGCCTCTCATGAAAACTCTATCAGTAACATGAGTCTTAGTAGCTAAGACAGAAAGGATTGCTTGACCACAGGCCCTTTGAGTCTCCAGCACAACCCTCGCCTTATTGTTTCATGGTAAACTGCGATGGCTGGGTGTGTCAGAGTCCAGTCTTGCTAATCCCAAGTCACTAGACCTGCTTACTGGCACACTGTAGGAAACCTGCATTTCGATGCTTTCCTAAATATGAGTATGAAATACTGGTTTACAAAGGGTGGAATCTGTAAAGATCAAGCACTTCCACTGGCAGTCTTTCCTGGGCCACAGTCACGTCTCATTTTGGGGGGTTAATATCTTCTGGTCTTTAAAATTCCATTATCTGGCCACTATTACTCCACCAATTCTGATGGTCTCAGAAATCTTGATTCCAATTACCATTTGTTTTGTATTTCAGACCTCTCTCCTGAACTCCAGACCCCACCATCAGCCTCATGGGCACCACACAAGGAAGTACTGCAGCACCTCAAAGTTAGGAGACAGTTTTGTTGCAAATAAGGCTTGGGTTCCTTTTAAAATTTTTGCCTTCATCCCTACAGTTCCCTCCCTGTTTCTCTCTTCAATATGGTTTCAATTTTATCAGTTCTTTGCATCAGTTGTGAAATTTTACCGTGTGGTCCTCACAAGTTTTGTTGTTAGATTTCAGTTCTCTTAAGAATATGAGAATCTTTAATTTCATTTAGATATTACCACTTACTACAGAAATGCGGTAATTCTCAAAATTTATCCAATGGACAAATACCACAAAACGCATAAAGGAATTCTGACTAATCTCTTCCAAAGGACAGACTCTTACTTGTCTGGGAGCTTTCAGGCTTTACTAGCAGAAGCTGAGGGTCATGTGAACTCGTAATTTAACCAAAACACGAAACAATTTCTTTTAGCACCTTCCCCCTTCCCCCCCCCCCAAACCCTTCCCTGAAACGGTTTTATGCTAAACCACCCCACCCCGACCCTGGGGTTTGTTGCTGTAACTTCTAAAACCGAAAATTTTTAAATTATCTGCAACTTCAGCATCTTTTATTTATCTGCAACTTCACTGGGCCGTAGTACACTTTTCGCAAAGTCTCTTTCTTTGTACCGTCAGAACCTAGCAAAGTAGGGTTAGACAAGCGTCTGCAGACCGAATGAATGAATGAGGCTCCCCGCGTTTCAGAGGCTCGTCTACTGACCCCCTCAACCCTCCTCCCTGCCCTGAGGTCTGGGAAACGCCCCCTCTGGGCGGCTAGGAGCCGAAGGGCAGTTCCTTTAGAGCGCCGCGACGAACGCTCCCTAAGGAGACTCTCGCCCCGCAAGAAGCCTGCGCGGAGACCAGGTTTCCAAGAACAATACTAAACCCAAAGCTAACGGCATTTCAGTCCCCACCTGCTCTGCAAAACACCGGGGCCCCCTCAACCCCCCGGCGGTAGCTCCCTAGCCTGTCCCCGGGCATGCGCATGCGCATGCGCATGCGCGGCAAGCAACACTGGGGCGGAAGCAGGACTGGCTGTTGGCAGACGTCACTCAACCAAGACGGCTCCGCCCTTCCAACATGGCGCTGCACGCAATACGGAAGGCGCGTGGGTGCTGGCCCTTCATCCGGGCACTTCACCGAGGACCCGAAGCGGCTCCCGCTCCCCAGGTAACCGAAGCTGGCCCCTCTCCCGCTGGCTTCCCATAAGGCTTGCTCCTTCTCGTCTTTCCGCCCGCCATTTGCGCCTCTCTTCCTGTTTCCACTGAGGTGCTGCTGGCGACTCCTCTCCTACTGTGGACTCGCCTAAGACTGCCCTCCTACCAGTAGCGTGGCGACTAGGCGAGGATGCGCGATGACGCAACGCGCCCCGGCGGGCGGGGCGCGCCGCCTCCCGCCCACCGGGATCCTTCCCGAAGGGCTGTGGGCGCTGCCCGAAACGTTTCCAGGCAACCGGGGAAGCCGAGCCCTGGGTGACGTTATTGGAGACCCGAAGGGGCTGTCATTGCATCACTGCTGTCTTTCTCGCGGCCCCATTACTGTTTTGTGCTCCTTCCCCTAAAAGCAGGCGGGGAGCCTGCGGAGAAATTAGAGAAGGCGTCTCGTTTAGCTGTTGGGCAGTTTGAAGTCTGACTGCAGTCCTTGGGTGAATTCCACTCTGGTTCCTTTTTGTCCCAAATCCTGTATTCCGGGAAAAGCTGAAGTGCCTCGTCTTGTCCTGCACCTCAGCACTGCTGGCCACAGCTTTTTCGCTGAGCGCTTGGCATGGCTTTCTGCTCTTCCGTACAGGAATTGTAAATACATGGCAAAAGAAAAAATGCATGTATATCATTTCACTCACCCAGACATTTACAGAACGTCTTCAGACTGCGGTGGCAGGCACTTAGCCATACATCTCTTGGAAGTTATCGTCTGGGAACTAGAGAGAAAAGTCAGGATTCTGTGGTTATTAGGTAATCTGGCATTGTTGCATACTCGTCATTATGCATAAGTGGGAGACTTTCTTATCGTAACTGGTACATGGGGAAGAGCACTAAGCTGGAAGTGAAACCAAAAGTCAGGGAATTTGCCACTTGCTGGCTGTGTGACCTGCCAAATCTCTTGATTTCTTTTCTTTAGTAAAATGGGTGGAGAGAAGGTTGAACTGATTGACACATTAATGTGAAGCCAGTGAGCTTAATTATGAGAACCAGGATTTCAGTTCAACTTACTTTTCTAATCGTCCCTTATAGAGTGATTAGAAAATTTAAATTACTTCACTATCTGTATTTAATAAGTTCCTTGATATAACCCTCACAAAATTCTTGTAATAATAAAGGCTATATTATACCAGAAATCTCTTTGTCAAAAAAAATAGCATTTTGTTATTTTAAATTTCAGTCAACTGTACAGGTGCAAATTGATTCAAAATTAGATAAATCCATTAAATACTTCTTAAAGAGAAATTTAAGAGTATGGTTTTACAGAACCAAAATTGATTACTGTATGGTACAGTCTTAACACCCAAACTTCTCTCATTTCAAACTTAAAAGTTGAGAATGTCATGCGAAGTAGAGAATCAACAAGAAGAACTGGTAATCTAGAGCCCACTGATAATTAACCAGGGAATGTAAAGGTCATTATACATATTAAAGAAAAAGCTTTCTTAAGCCTTTGCTGTTGTTTCAGGGATATGTGTGAATATGGTTATCTTAATCAGTTGTTAATTTAGTGCTTCAAGATATAGAGTCCCAGAACACTTTAATGTTTCCAAACCTGTAATATAACCTTGAGTAGAATAAAAATTAAATGTAAGTTAAAACATTCTGTTAAAACTATAAATCTATATCTAATTTTAAGTCATTTAAAAATGTGTGCATGAAAGACTCATACTAGTGTTTTCAAAGACCAGTTGAAAATAGATAAAATTATATTCATCATGTAATTATAATACTATATTTGTAAATAAATATTTACAGAAATGTTTGCACAGAAAAAAAGAATGGAAGGAAACAGACTTTCTTAATGTTCTTTCTTGTGCATTGGTCTTCCTAAATAGTGAATTTAAAGTGAAGAATTTTCTTCTTTAAGCTTTTCTTTTACATGTTCTCAATTGAAGATATATCACTTTTAGATCCAGAATAAAGTTCTTAAGGCATAAATCTCCATATAAATGCATAGTTGTTAATATCATCTGTGATATTTTAGGTCTCCGAGAGATACTTTCCCACAGTGCTGTTATTAAAATGGCCTAAGAAAAGAACTACTAAAAATTTATAGCCACTTTTCCTGTATGTATCTTCTGTTTCTCTTGAAATGCTCCCTTTGAAGTCAAAGAGATTTTTGTGAACAGATGCAGAAATATGTGAGGGAAAGAATTGGATTCGTAAACCAGATGCATTAGACATTTTTATGATATCTCATAACCTTTTTGAAAACAAAAATTATTTTGCAGTGGTATAGCCTAACAGAAACAATGAACAGCCATCATATCAGTGATTCTATCAAATGCCAAGAAATAACTGAGAAATGCTGGCTATTAGGTTTGACCCTGCAGTTACTCCCTAAGGTGAGAGCAGAAATGAAGGCGTCCTGGCGAAGCTTCTTGGAAACTGGCGGCAAGAGAGTGGCGATTCCTAGGGTGTTTTAACATTTTCTTTAAAAAAACAAAATCTTGAGTAAGAAGCTTGGCATTTGGGGAAAGTTTAATTATCTTAAAAGAAGGCCAAGGCGAGATGTGAACTGGGTTCTAAGTTAAAAATAGGGGGAAAACAGGAACCCCAGTGTATGGAGTTGTACTCTTTCTGAGATGGCTACAGTTTACATAAAAGCAGTTTATTTTGCCAGATGTGGCCTGACAGAAAACCACCGAACTCTGACAAGACGAGAGTAGTCACTGCATCAGGAATGAAGATCTGACTTGTTATGTTTAAAAGCCGGTGGCATTCAGTGAATTTAAGCCTGTCATCATTGGCCAGACACACTGAATCTGTTCTTTTTGACCTTATAATAGTATTGTGCAAAGAGTGAAATATTGATGGCTAGAAGACTTTTGCAAGAATATCTGTGATCATTCCACTGCAATATAAAAAGCCGTGGTTTCTTGCAGTTGCATCGCACACTTCATTATTAGCTGTCTCCAAGTTGGCGTCGGCCAGTGCTAACTTACTGTTGCTATAGTTGATGGCCACTGAGTGTGACCGCTGGGAGGAGGAATTGTGCCTGCAGGGAAATAAATAATGCATTAAATTTTTCATCTTGTATTTAGTTCTCACAGGCTTTTTTTTTTTAAAAAAGATTTATTTATTCATATAGAACTGGGGTACAGGCCAGAGATGTAGAGGGTGAGAGGCTTCACCAAAGACAGAGTGGGGAGCAGAACAGGCAGATCGACGAAGTACACTGCTGAGGGGAGCAGCGGGCGGGTCAGGAGAGGTCTGCCTCGCCATGTGGTCTCCTCCGGGGCAGGCGGGAATCGAACTCATGCGGAAGTGGCTATAGCTTCTTAGTGCTGTGCTTTAACCTGCTGCGCCACCAGGGAGGGCCTCTCACAGGCTTTTTAAAAGTTGCTTTTTTAGCTTTTTTATTTGAAAATAACTTTAGAGCTGTGAAATTAGCACACAGTATTCCTATACTATGAAAAATTAACTTGGCACTATGCATTTATTTTAGCTACAGACCTAATTCACGTTCCCCAACTTTTTACTAGTCTCTTTTCGGTCCAGGATCAAATCCAACACCCACATTGTATTTAGTTCTCCTGTCTGCTTCAGGGTGCGGCTCAGTCTTGCGTAACCTGGGCGCCCTTGAAGAGTGCTGGCCTTTCTCGCTGCATCATTCATGTGGTGTTTTCTCTCGAGCTGACCCAGGCTATGAAGTTTGCAAAAATACCGCAGAACAGACACTTCCTAGCCAGGCTTCAAGGCAGGTACGAGTGCCCTGTGTCCCAGAGCTCATTGATTAATTGTGGGATTGAGCCGGTAAAACGGCTCTTGCCCTTAACCTCTTACTGCAGAGTGTTTGCTGTTGAAGATTTCTGTGCTCTAGTGACCGCTTATTGGGGTAGTGCTGCCAGTGACTTTTCCCATCGTGTCTCTCTGCCACGTGTTGTCTCTCCAGCTTGCAGCATGAGCTCATCCCCTTGGAAAACCAGGAGTGACTGTAGCCCCAGGGAGTTTGGCTAGTTGTAAGGGTGCCAGTTTGATCCAGCTACTTCATCTGGCTCTGCTTGTCTCAGACAGTAAACGAGAGTGTGGTGTGGATTTCGCTAAAGACCCTAAGAAACTCCACTGGTTCTGTGAGCCCATAGGTATAAAATGGCCTTTACAGTTGGTTATTCTTGTGAACTAACTTAGCATATTAGAAATAACATTGCATTTCTTTGGTGGTATTGTTTCAATAAATATCTGAGTTTGTTGGCTCGGGACCACATATGGTAATGGGTGGATTATTTTTTATTTGTTTGTTTAAGTTTTAGCTTGGAGTGGATAATTTTTTTAGATGTATTTATGTATGCATACAGAACTGGGGTACAGGCCAGAGGTGCAGGGGTGGTGAGAGGATTCACCAGAGACAGAGTGGGGAGCAGAACAGGTCGACTCATGAAGCACAATGCTGAGGGGAGCAGCAGGTGGGCCAGGAGAGGTCTGCTGCGCCATGTGGTCACCTCCGGGGCTGGGGATCGAACTCATGCGGAAGTGGCTTTAGCTTCTTAGTGCTGTGCTCTAACCCCCTGAGCTACCAGGGAGGGCTCTTGAGTGGATTGTTTTTAAGGCACAGCCTATAAGAGAGTAGTCTGGGGTTATTTACGTTGATGCGTATGTACTTTATAACTCAAGTCACAATATTTTTCTACTTTAAGCTGCAGAGCCGCCCTGGGACTATTTACAGATGTAGGTATTTTATCAGCAAAAGGCAATGTATGTTCTCTTTTATCTCAAGCTGAGGAGTCCTTGCAATATTAACAATCAGTTTTCTTCTTCCAAATACAGTTCGCTTCTCCATCATCTGCTGGTCTCTGGGCATATAGTGATGCTATGTTCTTACCCGGCCATTGTTCAATGTGCCTGGCCTCTGGCGTCCTCACAAAGCACACTTAGTCTGTTTTGCTATTGAGCTGATCCCACTAACACCACCCCAAGACTCCAGAATCTCTCTTGTATCAACTGCAACCCGAGGCCCAGGCTTCTTGC